CTTCTCACCTCCGGGTGTGCCCGGAGGGACAAGAGGACCCAGCTGGCAAATGCAGGAAGGGGTCCCAGTAGATCTTTGCAAATCATCTTCCCGGGACGAGAAGCGAACGGCGGCAGATAGTTGCTAGGAATTTTGGATCATTTAAAAACAAACAAACAAACAAACAAACAAACAAACACTCTCATCCATCTGAGAGCAGCGACCTTTGGTTTGGGGCAGGGAAACAGAAACCCCGTGGCGAGAAGGAAATCCCCCTCCGTTTGCTCTTTGGAAGGGTAAGCCTGTGCGTACTTTTAAACGAGTAACAGCAAACTTCGTAATTGAGAAAAGAAAAATTGTAGAACTAAAACACTCTTGGGCAAAGTCAAATACGAATACTGCGGGTTTGCGAGTTTTCCAGGAAGGGGCCCCGAGATGTGGCTGGCTCGCCAGCAGGGGGCACGTTTTCTTTAGGATTGCGTCCCAGAATCCCGAAACCTCCAGCCGGACTCTCTCCGAGTCCCGTCGCCGGAAATCGCTCTGCAGATAATAACGCACCGGTGTCTGGAAATGTTTAATTACCGCTAACGCTCCTTCCTCCAGCGCCGTCCGCTGCCGGTGCAGCCCGGCAGGACCCCGCGCCGCGGGTGCAAGTAGGTGGTTCTGTCAGCGGGGCTCCACCCTAACGATCCACTATTCCGTTCAAACTACTGTTCTCCAGCATCCCCGGCTGATGAGACATTGCCTTGTTTCTAATGCACTTATTTACGCCTCGGAAAAAGGAAAAGTTCAGTCACCTTAGCACATAGATCTGGATGTGTCTAAAATAATCTGACAACTCAAATTTGAGTAAAAAGTAAAAAACCCACGCCGTCTTTTACACACATTTCACATTTGATCTTCCCTACAGAAGACACTGTCATTCCATTTTCCCGATGGTAGCATGCCCAGAACTCATGTAATTCCATGCTCGTATTTGTGCTTCATTTCAGATATTTTTACAAACCAAAGGTAGATATATACATATATATGTGTGTGTATGTATGTATTGTTACATTTATTAAGGTGAAAAGAGAGTGGTATTTGTGTGCTCGTAAAGAACTTACCAAACGGGAATTGCCTGGAAAAACAGTTCACTTTCCCTTTCAGTTTTGATACTGTAACTTGCCTGTCGCTGTCACAACAAAAAAACACCCGCTCTTGCGTTCACCTGGCATCTGTTCTCTTAAGGACCCTGGATTGCATTATGTTATCAGGGGTGTTATCTGAACAAATGTGCACAGGAGTCCTGTTACCTACCTCCCGTGCTTAAAAATCCTTTCCACCCCCAAGCAGGATTTTGACCTGATTGACCGTAATGGCTCCAGAGGAACTATTGAGCCATTACTATCCATCAACTAAATGAATACAGAGGGACGCCTAAATCTCCAGGTTATTTGAAAGCTCTGTACATGCATAAGGGGTTTCTAAGGAGCAGACCCCCAATTGCCTGCAAAGTAGTTGCAGGAAGTAGTTGCGTTGGAAGCAAAAATTCGCAAGTGCTGAGTGAGCAAACTCCATTTGAAAGAATGAGATTTTTTTTTTTTTTTTTTTTTTTGAGGCCATGGGATGCGGAGAGGTGGGGTTGATTTTTTTTTTTTTTTTTAATCCAAAACACGTCAAAGCAATATAGACCACATTCTAGTTAATTTTCTGGAAGCTGCTCCATTTTCACTCCGAAGACAGGCTGGGTCGCTTTCTTTCTCAATGAGCAGGAATCGAGAGAGGGGCTGGGGTTGGCGTGGAGAGGTGAGCAGCGGCCATCACCACCCCAGACTTGGCCAGGAAAAGGCGGCAGTAAAGCTTGCTGCGACACTGGATTCAGCGCGGTCCATAGCCCGGAGGCCCGGGCAGACCCGGGGATCGCTCCCTGGATGGACTTTACACCCACTGGCGGGACGTGGGGCGGAGCGCGGGACAGAGAGCTGGAGGCTTGGTCTCTACTGTGGGGACCCTTCTTCTAGGCTGCCCGGAACCAGTCGAGACTGGGACCACTTGGGCGCTCGCGGTTCCGCCCCGAAGGCAGTGAGCGAGAGAGCCAGAAAGAGCCGCCGCGGAGTTCGCGCCGGCTGGAGTACTCAGGCTCAGAGCTAGCAGAGGCTGCAGCCGCGGTGACGGAGTGCGCTGGACTCCCAGTAATGAGATGGGAGTTTTATCACCTTCACTGGGTTTCCAGGAGGGCAAAACTGTTGGGTCCTAGCTACAGAGGACGTTTACCAAATTCGAAACGTGACGTCCTCGCGAGTCCTAAACAAATCTGACCTTGCTAAAAAAGTACCCTTGTTGCCCTCAGGTGTCCTGGGTCCTGTCTTTGTCAATCCATCCAAGCAGCAGTCCGCACACGGCGCTGGGACCCAGGACCTGCTGGATGTGATCAATTTCTCTTAAATGGGCGGGGAAGGGGATACCTCAGCACTGACGGCAATAAGGGACCTTAGCTTTGTGGGCTTCCTTCTGACTGCTCCGCCCAGAGGGAACCCTGACTCTGGTTGGCCTCCTGCGGAGATCGAGGCCAGGGTTTGCGGGTCACTCCCTTGGGAGCTCAGAGTAGGATAGAGGACTTTTCAGCTCCTAGCAATTCTTGAATTTCGTTATCCTCCTTTCTGAGATTGTGCATTGTCAGCGACCTACAAGGCTCCTCTCTGAAGACAGGCTTCTGAAACAGGTGAGCCCTGGTGGAGGGCCCTCGTTGCCAGGGCTCAGATATGCTCTGGCCTTGTCCTGTTCTGTCCCTGCTGACCAGGTCCAGGCAAAGGTGGCCATGATTTTTCTAGGAGGCACAGCCTGGGGAACCAACAGCAACCTTGCTTCGAACACCCTGCTCTACATCCACTAAGTTCTAGAGACCTGAGTCAGGATCAGTTTTCAAGATAATCTGGCAAAGCAGCGGTGAAACAAATTTGGTTGCATATTTCTTCTTTAAGATCAGGAATACTTTCTCTCCAAGAAAGCTCCAAGTAGTAGAGGGATCACTACCTGGAGCTTTCTTGGAGAGAAAGTATTCCTGATCTTAAGGGATCCTACTACTTGGAGCTTTCTGAAGTCCTGAGGCACACTGGCCAAGGGCCCTGTTTTAGAAGAGAAAGACTACTAGAAACATAAAAGAAACACAGTTGAGCTGTAAGGGGTGCATAGCTGGAGATTGGTTGTTTATACCCCAGGAGGTTCCATCCTACCCTAATGACCAGCCAATGTTCTTAAGTGATCTGGACAGCCAGAGGTCCTCTTGTGTGGACATTTTTTTTTTTCTTCTTAACTTTTACCACTGGTAATGGAGTTTCTCCAAGCTTTGCTTATTTGGAGAGCCTGAGGCTGGTACAAACACACTCTCTGTGCCCAAGGTGGAAGCCAGAAAAGTTCAGCATTGCCCTGTGTAGACTTTCCCTCTAGGCCTTTCCTTACTCTTGAAGCTTGCTGTTCTGGAAGCTCTAGGAAGGTGGTGTGATCTCACTTCCCTTTTTCTCCAAGTGTTCTCACTCTGGCAAGAATGTCACTGCATTCTAGCAACTGCTAAGATTCCAGGAGCATGGACAAACAAACTTATGTGAATCTCTTACTTCTGCACTAACTTGGGGCACTGGGTAAGAGCTGTTCCTTTGAGCAAAGATTGCACCCCATCTTACTCCTCCTCAAACAAGACAAACTTACCCAGAGATTGGAGGCTAGATTCTTTTCTAAAGGCCTGGGGATATAAGGAAACCCTCTTTCAACTATGCCTTTTGGGGAGAGGGTCTCCATTACCATCTCTCTGGGTCAGGTATTACAACCTTCTTCATCTCCCAGGAAAATCAGATTGGCTTTGCAAACCAAAGCTGGAGATACCAGAAGCTCGTCGAGATAGCAGTACCAATACTTAGAGATCCACAGAAGCTAGGATCCATCTCCAAGAGTCACTCAGCAGCAACTCTGGGGCAAAGGCAGGGAGTGAAGTTGTGTGATCTGGACCCGCTCAAGTCCCTGGAAACCAGTGGCTCTTCCAGTGCCAAACCCAAGACCTGGAAGGGCATTCCAGAAAGGCATCAGGGAGGCATTGGGCTGGGGTCAGCCAGAGGTCATCTTTTGGAAATGAGTAGTCAAGGGGGTGCTGGCACCTTCCATAAGGTCTAGGCAATGAAGATAGAATTTTTAATGTCCAGAACTCTGATTCCTTTCTGATTCAAAACTCCTGAACCAGCTCCTTGACTCAGAGGCCTTGGAACTGACAACTTTGCAGCCCGCCTGGCTTGCCAGTGCTGCATACGTGAGTCGAGAGTGCAACCGTGCATTGGGGGTGAAATCTCAGAGAGTTCTGGGCCCCAGGAAAGTAAGTTTCCTGACCTCCTTTCCCTACTCTCTGATCTTTCTACTGGACTCCACAACGTAGGGTCTGGGTTGAGCCATATGCACTCGGATGTTACAGCTCGCTTGCTTCGGTGACCCTGGTCCTCTCGCACTAGAAATTAACCAGCGCTGCCTGGGTTACCACCCTGGCCCCGAGCACGCTTGGATATCCAGGAGCTGCTTCACACTCGGCGTCTGCCGCCTCTGGAAAGAGATTCTAGGAGGAAAGGCGACTCTGTCAGGCGCCAAAATGCGTTGAAACCCAAGCCGCAGTGTGGGGATCCCGGCGCACAGAGCTCGTGCCCCTGCCTCCCTCCTCCCAGAGAGCACGGGCTGTGTCCTAGGAGCCCAAGCATAGGACCTCGAAACGTGCGGTGCCAGCCCGCTCTCATCTGCTAGGAACCGTCTCATCTAGCGCGCCAAACGTGCCCTTCTGGACCTAAAAAAGGCAGAAGGGGTCGCGCAGGACAGAAGAGGAGGGGATGTAGGTCGGGAGAGACCGGGTCCAAGCGAGCGCAGCTGCCAAAGAGGGCTGCCCGGGTCAGCAAAACTTCGTCTTTCATTGCGCAGGCGCAGGGCAGGGTTGGGGGGCAGGGGAGGGAGGGGAGGAATCCTGAGGCAAGGGGCGGGGGTGGGGGGTGAAGGAGGGAGGGTGGTGGATTAAAATAAGTAGGCGGCTCGGTGCTAAGAGATGAGTGAGTCGGAGCTCGGCCTCTCCCCGGCACGTTCCCAGCTGCTCCTGGTTCAGACCCAGCGAGGGAGCCGCGAGCGAGGCTCACCATCCCCGGCGGGCAGGACCCGGGGTTGCTGAGCGCTCGCTCCCGCGTGTCCTGCGCTTGGAGTTCCTGCGGCAGGAGAGGAGTCGGGGCTCTAGAGCTCCCGGCGCGCCTGTGGGCTCCATCGCCTCCAGCTTCCCCGGTCCCCTCCAGCTAAAGCCCCAGAGACGTGCTCAGCCCCGGGACCTCTGCTGAACAAGGTAACTGCAGTCCTGGGCGCCAGGGCTCAGCAAGGCGAATGCGGGCAGGACTCCCAGGTTTCTTATCACTGCGCGGCGGGTGCCTCCTCTCTCTCAGTACCCCCGAAGGAAGCTCTTTGCCAAACGAATGCTGCAGAACTTTTGTGAAAGTGAGAGCAGGGTGGCTGGGGGCGCTGGCTCAGGACTTCCCACGCGGGGTCCTTGGCCTCTGACCTCCGGGGATTGAGGGGGCGGGTCTCCACTACTGCCTCCAGCACACCTGGCTCCGCGGAATCCCGGGCGAGGTGCCTACGGACTTTGGAAGTCAATCTGTGGGCCCCCTTTAAGAAACCAGAGCAACTTCAGCGGGCACAAACTTTCCCGAGACGCGCTCCCAGCTCTGGCTGACGCCTTGGCTGACGAAGAAGGAAGAGAGAGGGAGTGAATGGCCACAGCCGCAGTCTACCGCTTCAGAGACAGGTGCATGCCCCAGCCCGGTAGTGCTTTCGTTCAAGTTTGTCTTTTGAGGAGTTGCGCTCTGGTGTGAGGCCGACTAGACCCTAGAGCGCAGGGCCACGAGTCTGATCCCCGCCTCGCACTCGCGCTCTGACCTCGGGATATTTTCTGTAGGACGATTGCTCTGTGTCGTCAAGGCCTGGAGCAGAACCTTTGATTGTCCTGGTGCAGGGAGGCAATGCCAGTGGTGCGCAAGCACTGCTTTCCAATTCGAGACCCACATACAGCACTAGTGGAAACTATGGAGCCGCAGTGTCTCAGGGCTGGGGATTGGAAAGGTTCTGTTACTCCCCTGACTGTCCCTCAAACCAGCCGTCGGGAGAGAAAGAAGGGGGAAAGGGGCGAGGGGCTGCCTGCTGAACTAATTTCTCCTCCGAAATTTCTCTGATACGAATGGAAAACCTCGTCCAGTTCTTTTTCAGCAGCTCAGGCAGTAGCGGGTTGGGCTCTCTACATGTAAAGTAGCCGCGAGGGTTTCTTTGTTGCCATAATTTGGTAAATTTCACCCAGGCTAAGAGCTGCGCTTTGGCTCTGGAGAACAAAACCACGTGCAAGGCTAGGTGTCCCAGGTTCACAGCCCCCAAGGGAAGAGAAGGGCTGGAGGGGATTAGCAGCCACCGGCGGCGGGTAGATGTTCCATCGCAGGCTCCTCGTGGTAATTGCTGTTTTATTAAGATTGGGGGATGGATCGCCGAGGAAGCCTCGGACATTTAAGTTCAGTCGGACGGCTGCCTCGCCAATGGGTTTGTTAGATCTCGTTTGTTGAGAGAATGCTACAGAAGTATCCGGTGCCGGTCAGTCCTCTTCCTGGAGGTCCGGACGCCTGTCACCACTCATTGGAGATTCCATGTCGAGGCTGATTTTCTTGGGTTGCTGCTGGGCTCCCCCAGGCGCAAGCTCGTGGAGTTCGCTCCCATTCTCATTAATGCAAGCAGTTAACTTGCTCACGCTCAATTAGCCCCGAATAAACCACTTTAATAGACTGCACACTTCATTAATGCCTGGTATAGGACTGGCGGCAGACCCGGGATTGGCGCTCCACCGCGCGAGGAACGCGAGTGCCCACACTGCGCAGGGACCCGGGATCCTGAGCGTGAATTGCGTCTGCTGTGCGTGGTCGGGTCCCCTTACTCTTTCCTCTCAGGTTCCAAGGCCCGAGATGTTTGAGGAATGAGTGCCTGCCCTGGGGAAGGGTTTTCCAACTTGTGTTTAAAGATCGAAAACATTCGCCCTGGGGTTCCGGGGTCTGGGAAACAAGAGCCGGAGGGGCCGGGAGTTCGCTCATCCTTTCTGGCTGGAGAGGCTAGGGTGAGATTGAGTTTTTCTCTTAGCTGACCTACTGAAACCGGATCGTGCTTTCGGCCCAAGAGCCACGTTTCGAACGAATTTCGTCCCGGAAAGTAGTTGGCGGGAGCCTGGGGAACTCTGGCTTCAGAATGCTTCAGAAAACAAGGAATGGGCTGGGTCGGGGAAGAAAATAAATGTAGTGTTGGAGAAAACAAGATCGGGCAGATAGCCCGGAAAGGTTGGCTCCCAGGAACCATTATAGCTGCAAGCATTCCCCCTTCCCAGCACCCACTACGGCGCCCAAGACTGCTCCTATCTCCGCTCCTAGGAAGAAGGCGAGGAAAGGCCTAACGAGGCTGGTGGTTTCTCCCACCCAGGCACGGAGCGGGTTCGGGCTCCTGTGCAGCCCAGAGTCGCACAGCCATGGCCGCTGGCTTGGCCTTGGATAGGCCAAGCACCAGAGGAGCAGGAGGAAGCCTCAGCAGCGCCCAGCAGGCTCCTGGGACCTGGAGATAAGGATCTGATTTCCAGCCTCGAAGGGAAGAAGAGGTGACAGCAATTCAAAGAGTGCTCATCTCACCTAAGTCCAGGCTGACCTTTGAAATTAGCGAGTCTTCTCCTCCTTTCCATTCCCCAACCCAAAACGGTCCCAACTTCCTCTCTGGCCCAATTTTTACTTCTTTTTGTGTCCAAGCTCTGGGATAGTCTCAGTTTGTCCCACGATCTGGGCTTAGAGATGACCGTTGCTGAAGCCACAGGCTGCCGGCAGGGCCAGCGCTCTGCTTCAGAGGCCAGGTCGCTCAGCCTTCTCCCGCCCTGAGGCTGAGTTCATTGCAGCAATTTTTATCCGAGTGCTAATTTAAACTGCGCCGGCAAACCGCTGCCAGCTCATGGTGTTTTTACACCCTATTCCCAGGAAGCCCTCTTTCCTTAGGTCCCACCACACAGCCAGTGACCCCCTTGCCAGTTCCAGGAGAAAAAGGTTTCCTGGGTCAACATTTCCTCATTCCTCCTGGGAAAAAGGCACTGCACATCTTTGGACAGAGCCAGGCTTTGAAAGCCTCACTGCAGCGAAAGGCAGAGGAGTCTATGCCTGGGTCTTGCCCTAGGCTGAGGGTCAATTCAACCTGGGGAGAGGAGACACACTGAACTAGGGAGCAGAGCAGAGGCCAGTGCATCCCAGGGAAGGGGAATTACTCCATGTTAGAGCAAAGGACCTAGAAAGAGGAGAGTAATGAAAGGTAAAGGAAGAAGTCAACAGCAGGGGATTGAGGCTTGGCAAGAGAAGGGAGTCCCAAGGACCCTGCTGTGACAATGACTTCTTAAGGACCCCCAAGCTAACAGCCAGGAGCTCAGTGCTTGGGCTTCCCAAGGATCCCTGACAATTTAGACTTTGCTCACCCTGTTCTTTCCTCCATTGGACACATCTGAGTTACGTGTGTCTGGGAGGGTAGAGATGAAAGGCCTTTTTGCAGAGCACAGATGGTTCCATGGAGGCTGGAGATCATGGTCAAGGAGGTCTGGAGATGCCAGCCCCTGATCACTTCAGAGTGGCTTTCCTCTGGCCCTGCTCAAGCTCCTTGACCTTGCAGTTGGAGGTACACAGACCACAAGAATGGAGGCCTGGCTCTTGCTCTTTCCCATAGGCATAGCCACCTGCCCATGGCTCACCACACACAAGAACATGCTGACAACACAGAGACCCAGCTCTCCTTTTCTTTAGGGGAGTCGGGACACTAAAGCCCCCTTGTTTGTGACTGCACAAACAATGGGTATCAGCACCCTTCTTGAAAGCAAAATGGTCCCCGAGGGCTAAGGCAGGGCAGGGAGTCAGTCCGCAAGCAGCTGCAGAGAGTGGGGCCAACAGGTTTCACTTATTAAGGTAGGGAAGCAGATTTAAAGTCAAAGCTGAGAGATTTGAGGAGAAAGATGACAGGGCTTCTGGAAGCCAAATAGAAGGTCAGCCAGAAGATCTTAGCAAATGGGAGCCAGGAGGTGCATGTATTTTTGTGCATGTGTATGTGTGTTTTTTGTGAGACTCTTGATGAGTGCAATGTGATCGTGTGTGTGTGTGTGTGTGTGTGAGTGTGTGTGTGTTTTAAAGCCAGTTTTGTGCTATAAAACACTGGTTGTACCAGTCTTTGCACCTTGTCAATTTTGCCTCAAAACGTGTGAATCTACGTGTGCATTTCTGTGTTTATCTGCAAATAAATGTGTAAATGTGTTCCCCAGCTCCTGTTATCTTTGCAGGAGATTGTGATTCCGTGTTGACTCAGGCTTACCTGGCTGTCAGTTTGTACAGGACTGGCCAATTTTCCTGTGCTTGTGCCTTTCTCAGTGTCTTGTACACAGTATACAGTAGGCCCTTCTCTCCATCAAGTTGCGTGACTGCCAGAGGCCATTTGGAGAAAGCCCTCAGACCAGCGAGCGTTCTGAAAAGAGGGCTCCCCTGCATCTTACATTGCCACCCCCTTTGTGAGGGTGGGGTCTTAGACTCTCAGTGTGTTTTGAGAGTACGGTCTTAGACACTCTTTTGCGCTGGGTGTGAGGAGAGGGTGTGGCTGGGCTGGAATTCAGGAGGAAGGCGACCCACCCTGAACTTGTTTATTCCTCCCCATGCCCTTGCCTTCTTTTCTTTGCAGATCCGGATTGAGAAGCCACTGCAACTACCAAAATGGGCAGCAAAACCTTGCCGGCGCCAGTGCCCATCCACCCTTCCCTGCAGCTCACCAACTACTCCTTCCTTCAGGCAGTGAACGGCCTCCCCACAGTACCCTCGGACCATCTGCCCAACCTGTATGGTTTCAGTGCGTTGCATGCTGTGCACCTGCATCAGTGGACGCTGGGCTACCCGGCCATGCACTTGCCGCGCTCTTCTTTCTCCAAAGTGCCAGGCACCGTGTCTAGTTTGGTGGACGCGCGCTTCCAGCTGCCCGCCTTTCCCTGGTTCCCTCATGTTATTCAACCCAAGCCCGAGATCACCGCTGGAAGCAGCGTTCCAGCGCTCAAGACCAAGCCGCGCTTTGATTTCGCCAACCTGGCCTTGGCCGCAACGCAAGAAGATCCGGCCAAGCTTGGCCGCGGGGAGGTCCCAGGCTCCCCTGCGGGTGGGCTAGGCGCCCTCCTCGATGTGACCAAGCTGTCTCCAGAAAAGAAACCCACAAGGGGACGTCTGCCTTCCAAGACCAAGAAGGAGTTCGTCTGCAAGTTCTGTGGCCGCCACTTCACCAAGTCCTACAACCTACTTATCCATGAGCGGACGCACACTGACGAGCGGCCCTACACCTGTGACATCTGCCACAAAGCCTTCCGGAGGCAAGACCACCTGCGAGACCACAGGTGCGGCAATGCGGGTGGCCCAAGAGAGAGCTCTCTGCCTCTGGCCCCACCATCTTCCTCCCTAACGAGATTCTTGAGACCCCCTACTGGCTCCAAGCCTCTGGAGGTTCAGGAAATTCTTTAAAATCAAGAAGGAAAGCCTAGGAGACCCAGGGATAGGTTTTGGAGCATGGGTTCAGGAAATGTGGGAATAAATAGGACCCAAGATTAAGTGAGGTCTCCGTGAGCTCCAGACAAACACATAGCTTCCTCCACCCCGCTTCCTCCATCCTCAGGGCTGTCCAATAGAAGGTTTTGCGGTGAAGGAAATGTGACATGTGACACATATGACAGTTAAGTATTTGAAATGTAATAGTGCACCTGAGAAACTAGTTTTATTTAATTTTAAGTAATTTAATAAGTATTTAATAAGCACACATGCTAGTGTGTGCTTATCACCATCTTGGACAGTGCAGGTCAAGCAAATTTTCTGACCCCAGCTCCCTTAACTCGTCTTCAGTGTTGACCCAGGCCTTATAAGGAGGCCAAGCTTGCCCCTCCTGCCCAGCAGGAAGGCAGGTAACTGAACCCATGTAAGGATCAGACTTTGCTAAAGCATCTCTTTCTCCTCCCCACTCCATCCCCATCAACATTTTGTCCCATCCACACTTGGTACCCGACAATGCCCTTTTCCTTTGAGGGCAAGTGCCCCATAGTGGGAGGGGATCTTGGGCAATTGTTTATAATATTGCATCATTTTGCGAGGATGAACTCTGTTTCTGCCCTCAGATATATTCACTCCAAAGAGAAGCCCTTCAAGTGTCAAGAGTGTGGGAAAGGATTCTGCCAGTCCAGGACTCTCGCTGTCCACAAGACGCTACACTCACAGGTGAAGGAGCTCAAAACCTCCAAGATCAAATGCTAAATAGAGCCTCTGGGTCACAAGAACCCTGGGCCCGGCGGCCCTCTCCTCCAGAGGGACCAGAAGCCTAACTCTGGCGGGCAGGGGAGAGGCGCTTGTTCAGGACCTTCCACCTCTCCAACATTGTCCCCTGGGTCCCTGGCGCACGCGGCACTTCAGAGCCCCGTCCGGGGCCTAGACCCAGATCAACCCGGCTGCTCCCCTAGGACGCGGCTAAACTCTTGGCCAAAAGGCGGTACTCACGTGGCGGAAAGGAAACTGCATTTAAAAAAAGAACGAAAGCTCCGTGGAGCCGCAGCAGCGCCTCTCCCAGAAGTATTACTTTTTCTATTGTTATTTTATACGTTTTCATTTTTATTTTTGTCTTTGACCATATAAGCTTTAAGTCTGACTGCGGAAAGTGAGGGGAGAAGGGAGAAGCAACGAAGTCCTTCGCACTGGCACCTCCCACCTCCTCCTCCCGCCCCTGCCCCCACCCCGGAGGCTGCAGAAGTGTAATCCCGGTATCTACTTCAGCCGTCTGCCCCAGGAACCGCGGGGCCAGGAGCGCCCCCTCCCAGCTCTTGCGGCTCAACAGCTCCGGGGACTCAGACAGCCGGGCAAGGACCTCCGGCCTGGGGGCTGCAGGGGGCCCGGCCTCTGCCGCCTAGACACCACGAGGGAACAGCCAGCCAGGAGCCGGGCGTTCTATTGCGATTGGCACTTTATGCTGACCATCGGTAACGGACATTTATCACTGGAGTTTTTTTTTTAAACTATTAAATAAACGGTTATTTTACAGGCATTGCAGGATGGGTAATTTCCCTCCTAAACGCGGAAAACCGGGTGGGTCCTCTCTTTGAGAGGACCAGGTTTCTCTGCAGGACGCCAGCATGTCCCGCTCCTTCCACCCTGTCTTATTAGGACGACAGGGCTGAAGTGGATGGAGAAACGCCCTCTCTCCCGGGTAGGTCTGCCTCTGCCCCACCATGTATTTTCTTACTTTTCTCCTCCACCTCCGGGGTAGTGTCTCAGCATTCCCACTCCTCACCTCTAAAGGGCTGTGAGTTTACGAAGAACCTAAGCCTGAAAGCAGAACACCGGCCGTGAGAAATCCCAGCGTCTCTGGGTGCTGAGGTCGCTTAGGGTGCAAGAAGAGAAGAGACTGTCGTTCCCCACCCTAACCGAAGGCCTCCCTCCTGGCCTCTGGCTTTGGGGTGAGAAACAACCACCCTCACAGAGCCTCAGAGCTGTATTGTTTCCCGTACCCCGGGTCCCAACACTGGGCTGCAAATAGCAAACACTGCTGCCTCCCCGGAACCCCAAACCAAAATCACTCCCTCCCTTAGGATCCTTCAGACACAATTCTCTCCTTGGGAATTGTCCCTCTTATGATCGAGGCTCTAGACCCCCGAAGATTTCCTACAAATGTAAAGCCTTGTCAGGAATGGCGGGGGCGGGCGCCCTGGGAGGCCCAGGACACTTAGGAGGAGAAATTAAGAGTCCTTCCTCCATAAGCTGAACATTCCCTGGGGTGTCTAGTTTTCCCACATTTAGAAGTAGGGCCGCCAGGGCTCTCCTGCTTGGGGCGAGGCGGGGCTCCCCCAGCTCCAGCGCCCTGACCGCGATACCGCGCAGGCGGTGGCGCCCGCGGCCTTTCCCGAGCGCAGGGTGGCCTCTCCAGCTTCAGCGCCTGGAGTGCGGCGGCAGCGGACGACGACTGGACTAAGCTTCCCTGCGGCAGGGACCAAAAATCCCAGCCTGGAACCGGGCCCTGCTGGCTGAGAAAGCGGCAAGGGATGCAGGAGTTAAAAAACTCCTGCCTTTCACCGCCCCATTCCCACTTCCTCCGGGAATGCTCCCCGGTCCTGGGCAGGCTAGAGCGTCAAGGCCTGGGAACCAAATTGGGCACTGGAGCCTGGCACAGGAGGCTAGGACGAGCCCTGCCCTCCGCGCTCAGAGCCGCGCTGCCTCCTGCTGGCCAGGCATGGAGGGGCGGCCCAGGACTTGGGGCACCTTAAGGAGTCTTGCCCGCAACCTTGCGAAACCGCCACGCAGCTGTGTGTTTGGTCCTGAAACCTTGACTGGCCCCAGCGGCCACTGCGGGTGAGGAGCAGGGCGCTGCTGGGTCTGGCATGGTCTGAGGGATCTTCATTAGTTGGTCACTATCCCAATCCTTCTTCCACGAGAGTCCACAAGGTCGCGCGTGGCCCAGGATGATGCCCCTATTCCTGAGAACTGGGGACTCTGAGTACATGGAAGTGGAGTTAGCCAGTAGGTTTAGGTTTGGGGTGGTGTCGACGGTCTGGGCCCAAGCAGTGCACGCAGGTTGTGGTGTGGTTTGTGCCTGACCATAGCTTGTGCTACAGCCAACTGCAGAGGCCTCATTGGTTCCTTTATGAAGCCCCACGAGGCAGGGGGCTGTTGTTGCTCCAAACAACCGGAGTGCATGGGTGTACACACACACACACACACAGGGAACCCTTTCTAGACCCTTGGCTCTTTCTAGGACTCTACCTTTGGGATTGTCTATGGCTGCTCTTCCCTAGCTCCTGACATCCCTCCACCTCCCGGAACGCAGCCTTCCACCCGCAGAACACCATGCTTCTGCAGTTCCCGGGCCTCAGGACGTTATAAATGCTGTGAAAGGGGGAGGTTTGCCAGCCATGTCAATCTTTTTTGGGTCACCCCTCCTCCAACCAGTCCAAGGTCTGCAACTGAATATCAGTATTAAGTGTGCATCCTCAAAATAACAGATTTCCAGTGCAGAGTTTTAAATTGGGAGTGGGAAATGGATGGTGGGATAGGGTGCTGCGTGACAACTCCCTGGTGCTCTCAGAATGCCTCTATTTGCTCTACTGATGTTTGCTGTTACCCTGGTGGACTCAGATCACTTCTCACTACAGCTTGCTCTAGTGATTCGTAGACTGTGCAGAAACAGTAACTGCAGGTGGAAAGGCCGTCTGGGCCTCTGGGCCATCAGACCCCTTCCAGGCTACAATGTGATTGGTTGATGTGGTTGGAAACTAGTATCCCAGTTTCCTGCTCGTACTCACTGTGGGTTGCACAAAAATGTGCAATTGAGAAGGCCAGAAATGCTGGGTGGCTTTTCTTGCCTGCACCAATTTTTTTTCCCAATACATCCCTAAAAACTCCCAGCTCCTGTCTCCTCTCCGGACTCCCCACCACAATTAGCTTCGTTGGTCCCGACTGTTCCTGTGCTCAGCGTTGCTGGGGCCATTTTTCAGGAGCGAAAGAGGCCCATGGTGCTGGCCAGGTGGAGTTCAGCTGGGGCCCTTCTCAAAGCTGCTAGGCCTGTGGTTTTTGTGTACGGGTGGAAAAGCTATCTGGCCTAAGACAAGCCTATTGGGCGGGGTGGGTGGAAGGTGCCAGAGACCCTGGGCTCAGCGCGGAGCTGACAGATGCTGTCTCCGGGAAGATATCAGTTGCTCCCTAGGAAAAGAACAGCTTGCAGGGGCTTTTTCCCAGGAGAGAGTGTTTCAGGTTTTACCTCCTTTTTCCAGAGTGTAGTTAGGGATTAGGGACCCACTAAAAGCATGTTTTCCCGGGTACTTCCTTGCCGTGGCATTTGTTGCTCACATTACGGGGAGGAACGCAAATGGATGCTCTGGGGCTTCCTGACGTCATCTCAGGTCCAAGAACCTGAGAATCTGATATCCTAGAGCCCTTAGAATCCTGGTGTCCCTGGAGCCGGTCCAAAGGCGTCCCGTCCCACTACTCAGAGCGCTAAGCCTCTGTGACGTCACAGTCCCCTCCCGCAGACACCATGACGTCACAGAGGCCTCGGACCTGAACGAGGTCCAAGGAGGCATCCATTACGTAACTTCATGACGTCACAGATGGGCCTCACCTCAGGCTAATGTAGCCACATTTCTTGGTCCCGCCCGGCCCTGCGAATCTGCCCATTGAGGCGCCACGAATCGGTTCGTCCCCACCGACAGGATCCGCAGACCCGAAGCTTTGGCAGCTGTCGTGAGTGAAGGGCGGTGCCCTGCAGCGTCCTCTTCCTGAATCCGAGGTTTAGAGTGGTCTCCCTGCTCGCAGCGTTTCAGTGCAGCAGCAGCCTCGGCGTACTCGCCCCACCCACTTCACCGCCCATTGTGGCCCCGCCCTCCCCGCCTACTACGCATGCACCACACGCAGGCGCAAAGGAAGGCGCCGGCTTGTGCTGCTGGTACCCGAGTCCGGAACCTAGTGGCGGTTTGTGGAAATCGTTGCGGAGTTTTGTGTTTTGCTTTCCGGGATCACAAGTTCGGGGGCATACTGGCCCTGCGGGCGCATGCAGCCGTTGGCGTACGTGTGCGCAGGACATGCAGACGAGGAGAGGGTGGGGCTGGGCTAATGCGGGCTGGAGCCCTTGACTTGGAGTGCCCAGTCTGGCGCCGCCTTCCGACGGAGGCCCCTTGGATCTGAGCCGGCGGGGGTGGGAGCGGCGGTCCCTATCCCAGGCCAGAAAGTTCGCTGCGGTCCCAGCCCGTTTGGTCAGGCTTTCTGAGGTAGAGATGTCGGTCTTAAGCCCGGGGGAACGCCTTGGTCTCCCACCCGACCCGTTCATCCCGACTTTCTGGGCCGTCTGTGGAGCCCAGTCGGTGGCTGGGTCCAGTTGGCGTACGTTTCAGATGAAAAATTCACTACGGACTTGAGATGCTGGGGTCATATTTTATGTCAGTGAGTGGCAGAGGAAGAATTCGAAGCTGTGCTTTCATTGAGGGGAGCGGTCAGAAGACCCAGCTCTAGCTTTTTCTGACAAGCACAAGTTTTGGGGAAGTCCCTGTGCTTCTCCGAGCCTCAGTTTTCTTCCTGTGATGGGGGTAGGGCTCTTCCTACCTACCTCATTCACTTCATGTAGAGGTAAAAGTCGTGCACATTTTGCCAATAACGTATTCACTGCTTGAGCCAAAAACTGTGTCCTAATGTGTTGTAGAACAACTTTGGCATGTATGAAGGCCTTGTAAATGATGATGATGATGATGATGGTTAGAAGTGCTTCTCAGCATTTTGAAGTAGTCTGCCTCCCAACCTGCTGTATTCCCAGGAGTGACACCCCCCATCTTTTTTATAACAGAGGGATCCTGAAATGGAATGAGAGAGGAAGATCACTGAACTGGTGGCCTTCTTGAAACCTCTGGCAAAAAGCCTTTTTCAATGACGTGGGGACCGATGGATTAATCCGTTTACAAATTATTATGTTTGGTTGGGAAGATGTGTCATGGCCCTGTGTCAGAGCCCTACTTACCATGTATTTGTGGAACCCGGGGAGTTAACCTGTGGAGACTGAGGTGTGGAGCTGGGGAAGGAGCCTATGTATGTGGCAAGTGTGACTGCATAGACAGGCAAGTGCTTAAACACACGCCTGCAGAGTGAAAGACCTCTTGTGGATTTGTGCTTTCTTATGATTGATTGATTGAAACAAAGTCTCCCTCAGTTGCCTAGGCTGGAGTGCAGTGGTATGATCAGGGCTCATTGCATCTTCAACCTCCTGGGCTCAAGCAATCCTCCTACCTCAGCCTCCTGAGTAGCAAGGCTACAGGCATGTGCCACCACATCCAGCTAATTTTTTCTATTTTGTGTGTGTGTGTGTGTGTGTGTGTGTGTGTGTGTGTGTATGTAGAGAAAAGCTCTTTCTATATTGCTTAGACTGCTCTTGAGCTCCTGGGCTCAAGTGATCCTCCCACCTTGGCCTCCCAAAGTGCTGGGATTACAGGTGTGAGGCACCATGCCTTACCCTTCTGTTTGACTTGTGTTAGAGCATGCTAGCCTAAAGAAAAAGTGACCACACAATGT